AAAAAACTTTAAATGTGAATGAACAGTAAATAGCAAAAGAACTTTAAGTGTAAAAGACAATAAATAACAAAGCAAATAATAAAATAAAGTTGTTATCTGAATCCATTGAACATTGATTTCAATTCTTCAATCAATTATCCAAATCTTATAATTTTCTCTTCTATTTCTGATTCTTCATATGTATGGATAGATCTAAAAAATATTCTTGGTAAAAGTAAATTTTTCATTGCTTCATCAAAGAATGTAGCATTCAAAAATTAATAAAAAAAATGTGTACAACATATATAATTCTAAATTAGAAATACTCACCAAGGACATATGGAAACAAAAATTGACTCTTCGATCAAAGAAAAATAAATAAAATCAATGTTAACAATAATGATAATAAAAAAAGTTAGTTAAAAAATGGAAATCATTATCGTTATTAGAAAAAAAAAGAGTCATCAATGAAAAATATTGTTAATAGAAACCAAATTGCCTTCAGGAAATTGCTAAATATAAATCATTAGTAATAGAAATAAATGTTAAATGAAATAAATATTAGTAGCAATAAATGTTTGTAGTAAAAAATATAGAAGTTCTTATATAAATAAAAGAAACCAAAATCATTAGAAATAAAGTAGAAGATTGCATAATGAAATCGGTAGTATTAGTAAAAGAATATTGTTAGCAAATATTAATAAAATGACAATTCAAATTAATAGAAATAAGAAATAGAAGTGATAACGGCGAATAAAAATGTTAATACAAAATTTTGTACAGTAGAAATAGGAATTAGAAAAAATAATAAAGAATGATTCGTTTAGTATAAATAAAATATGAATTAAATCATTAACTAAAAAAATATAGAAATGTTAGTAATAAAAATAATTAGTAAAAAAATTGTCATCCCTATTCTCAGCATTGCTGTAATTTTAGATTTTGAAATATTAATAATTCATACCATTCCATTATCTTGACAGGTAATTATATAAAAACTTGAATTGAAAAATCTGAAGTAACATTGAACAGTAGCCTTATATGACTTTCTTATCTCCATAATGAATGAAAGAATATTGTTTTGTGTTGGATGGATGCACTCAGGTAGCTTAAAAAAATATATATATATAAGAAAGAATAATAAAAAATGACAATAAAATTATGACAGAATAGTTACCATATTAATAGATTATTGGTAAGAGAGGAAAAATAAAAATAATTAGTAGAACCGTTGAAAGAAATTAGATAAAAAATCATTAGTAATACTTGCAAATATTTGAAACTAAAAAATAAAATAAAAAATCAGAAGCAAAAATATAGATCATGAGTAAAGTGTTATGGAAATAATAAATATTATCAGGAGTAAAATATTTTTAATAAAAAAAAAATTAATTAATATTAAAAGTTTCATAATAATAATATTATTTTGCTCTTCCATTTTAGTAGAGTTTTGATTATTTCTCTCGGTTAACTCAATATCAAGTGTTTTCTGTACCAGATTTTAACTGTCCATTGCCACCTTCATTTGTAATTTGTCATGTAATAATTATTTCTTTGGCCAAGTTTATTATTAATGCCATTAAATTAATTGATCTATTTATTTTGATTGTTTCTTTTCTTTCCATAAATGGTTTGTCTGCTCATAAGGAGTCTTGGAACTTTGTAACTGTATATATGTTGAATTTCCCTAAATTTTTCCTTCTATTCAGCCATTCTGAAAAAATTTTTTATATATAACTCTTACCATAAATATTCCTTTATAAATGATCCATCTCAATCAGTATGCTTCGAAAGTTTGGTAAATTCAAGCTTCCTTGATCACATGATCAAGTTATTCCTAAAGGAATTGATAGTTTTGCTAGAAAAGACAAATAACATCATGTTAAATGATGAAAGTAATAATGAAAAACAAATAAACAAGCAAGAAAAGAGGAGAAAACTCAATAAAGCGGGCAAAAGTGACAGTTGAAATCTTGAAATCGTGAGGCTCTCTCAAGTAAAAACAACAAAAAATATCATCAATAGGGCTTCGTTGTGGTGGATAGAACTTTCATCTAGTTCGTAAAGGCTTCTCATACTTCTTTTGGCTATATTATTCAAATTATATAAAACAATAACACTACTTTCATTCTTATTCAGCAGCTGAAAATGTGTTGACTTTTAGGAAAAGAGAAATATGTTTAATACGTTACACATAAGATCTACGATTATTTATAACTCTTATTTACTAAAATGACATAATCTATTCGACTTTCTGACTCAACCTGATCTTAAGATCAGATTAAGTTATCTTGAATTGTAATGTTCATTTGTCACAAATTATGATGATACAAGTAATGATGTTTATATTAATATTGTATAAATGAAGAAGAAAAGAGTGTGAAAGGAAAATAAAAAAAGGAAGGTAAAGAATGAAAGAGTAAAATAATTTATTATTTATATTTTAAATAGACATTTATTTTTTTAAATATTAAAAAATATACTTTTTATAAACTATTTTAATTCATCATTTAAAATGACTTCGTAATTTATTACACAATTAATTGTGTTTTCATCATTCCCTTTTTACAAATTTTATTTTTAATGGATTAAAATAAAATTTAAATTATTAAATACATAATTATTATATTTCTATCTTTTCTTTTTTTGCAAATATTTTTAATAATATAAAAATAAAATAAGAATAACCATTTTGATAAATTAAACATTTCATTATTAATTCTTCAATCAGTTCAAGTTACTTTTTCAACTATCATTTGTTGAAACTCTTGTATTCTTGATATTGACCAGTATTGCAATATATCTTAAATAAAATCTTATAATTAATAGGTCACAATGAAAAATTTTTTCATTTGAATTTATATGTCAACGGAATGGAATTGAGAATATCACTAATCTCGGGAGTTGTTCATAATCGGATTGCTTCACCATGGGAACATTCTATAGTAAATGTAACCAAAATAAAGGTTTAAATTATAGAAGATTCTTCAAAAATCCAAATTATTTATAGTTGGTTGTTTATTTTTGAATTGGTAAGAAATGCAAAAGTGAACCGTGCACTCTATAATTATCAAATTTTATTTATTAAATATTAAGTTTATAATTTAAAAATTCTAATTCTAAATGCATATATGTATTTTGCAAGATGCGAAAAAAGAATCGTAATCTACCTTAATTCTATCCATTTTCAATCTTCCGAAATAATAACAATAATGTAACTTCTTCATTGCTTTTATTTTCCATACCTGTCACTTATTAAGATTCATTTTAGTTGCTAATAATCATATAATAGATTTATGTTCTCAAGTTCTGATATTCTTTTGATTGATAGAAATAAAGATATCTTGATAGATGAAATTAAATAAATAGCTAAATTAAATTAAATTAAATAAATGAAATTAATTAAATTAAACTTTATTATTCTCTACCTTCTGAGGAACTTTCATGTCTTTAATTTGGTGTGACTGGAATCAGGACTGTTTCTTTGGAAAATTATAGTGCTTAACGCAGGTAAACGTCTGAATAATTAGTATGGAATAATTAATAGGAAACTTCGAGTTCTTTTAGAGGAAGGAAAAGTCGTAAAAAGGTTTTTGTAGTGAACAATATCCAGGAATTCGGTTCGTTTTCTCGGATTTATTTGTATTCAAATCCCACTCCTTATAAATATATCGAACATATAAAACAAAATAAAAAATGAAATTTTTAACAACAGATCTTGTAGTGAGAATTGCAGAATTCCGTGAATCATTGAATCTTTGAACACAAAATTGTACTTCCCAGTAATCTGTGAGTATGCTTGGTTGAAGATCATTAGAATAAAATTTGTGGCTTTTTTGAGTTTTCCTGCAGTTATAATAAAATGCTAAAATTATTTATTACTTGGTACAAGTTCGAAACGTGCTATATGGGCGGTTCGCTGACATAAGAATATCATCAAGTGGGGGAAAAGAAACCCTGGTAAAAGCGAGTGAAGAGGGAAACTCAAATTTAAATCTACCTGGTTTCCAGGTCGAATTATAATTTGATCAGTTTAGAGGACTGGTTCAAGATCCTTTGAACAAGACATCATGGATGGTGAGAATCCTGTGTATGATCAAAACCAAGATATCCAATATTCGTTTTCTAAGAGTCGAGTTGTTTGGAAATGCAGCTAAAAATGGGTATTAGACATCACCTAAGGTTAAATGTCAGCGAGAGACCGATAGCGAGTAAGTACTGTGAAGTAAAGGTGAAAAGAGAACGTGAAATTGTTGAAAGATAACGATTGGAGTCTGTCATGCTAGCGAGATTCAGTTTGGCATGTTTTGGATTCAAGAGACTTAAATAATCATTATTATAGGAATAAAAGAAAGAACGAAAACAGTAATTTGAGAATTCGAAAGCTATTATTTCATAAAAATAAAAGTCTTGAATAGCATGAAGTATTTATATTTACCTGGTTCATCAATCATAAAATCATCTCAATACTTCAAACTAGGATTTATATTTTACTCCAAGGTTTCTTCTCCTTCGATGAGATTGATATAAAATAATGTAAAGTACTACTTGGTCCATTCTTCAAGATTCGTAGAAATATTAGAAGTTTGAGCAATATGACATAATTCCATATTTAAAATTCTTCCATTTCAACCCATTTTGCATGAGAAGAGAGAGGCCAGTGTAGTTTCATCGGCACGAAAAATAAGATCTGGATAATTTACAGCAATATCCTTAAAAAATTTTCTAATTATTTCAACTAAATATAGAATGATAATAAGAGAAGAGTAACCAAGCAAGAACCTTTTGTTTAAATAAGAAGAGTCTGGATCTTTTTCGATTGCTTAATTATCATAGTATTACCTCTGGCAATAGGTAAAGGGAAAATTGATAAAGGGATCATGGCATGAAACCAAAAGGCCTGCCATGATAGCTTAAGGCTCTTGATATCCATATTAGTCGAAACGGCAAACTGTCAGCCCATTAATAAATTGGTAATATTACAAGCTTTGCTCCACCACTTGTAATTATCGATAAGCATCTCATTTGGCATCCAATCCAAAAATGTTTCCCTTGTTCCTCGGTAATGGATTTTGCGATTTTATCATATCCCTTTTAATCGATTGTTGAAATTCTAATAAAATTCGTTGCCTGGTGAGAACCATAATTTTACGCCATGCTTTAAAAGTATCAGCAGAGTTATCAACAGCATCTAATAATTCTTGGAGAGTAGGTTCCGGAACAAGATTTACTACCCTGTGCAATATACCATATAATTTAATTTAATTCAATATTAAATTGAATATATAATTGAATTACAATTAATATAATTAAGATAATTGATGGATTAAGATAATTAATTAATTACCGGAATATAAACGGGCATCCACTGTTCAGTTTTTGATTCTAAGAATTCCCCGTTAGTATATAATCATAAATCATGTCTTACATATCTATTACAGTATAACAATACTAAAAGTTCAACGTGGCAAGATCATCTAAACCAACAATATTAATGAATGATATCTAAGATCATATCATTAATTGCCTCTTACTTTTTGCCTTTTTCTCGACAATTCATTGTCATTTTCTACGTTTCTTCATAATTTGATAAAATTAATTTTATTTACAAAAGGAAATGCGAAATAAATTTAAAATGAAATTGCTAATCTATAATAAAAGTATAAAAATTTTAAAGAAATATAAAATTAATTAATAATCAACTATATAATATTTAAACGACCAATCAACAACATAATTGCTTAAAATAATTTATATTCTTTTTCATAGTGAGAAGCAATGGGGTTACGTTCAAATCCAACTGGAGGATTAATGACCTTTGCATCATAATTGAAAAACGATTTTGGTAAAGGGGATAGGAGTTTATCCGTTTTCTCTTGTCTTTTGGTAAATAGATATTCATGTTTACCAGTGCGATGACAACTTCTTACGCAAGTAAGCCAATAATTATACTTTTCTTTCGTAACATGCATCTTGAAATCTAATGATTTCAAAAATGAAATCTCCAATGCGTCGATATCGGCTTGAGAGATATTTGA